CTAGAAATAAATTTTGCTTATAGAAATTTTAGAAATTCTAATTATTCACAACACTTTCGAGACATTGCATACCAATATTTTAAGAGTATGATGTATTCATGTGTTGGAGAAAGGTTCAAGGACGGTTCTGCTGAAAAATATAAACAATTTAAATATACAGGTAATTTTTATGTATCATTCAACCGTTTTATAATTGTTTTAGTTTTTAAACCTTTGCTTTTTTTCATTAGCAATGACAACTGATGACATCAAAGTGAGATATTTAAAAGACAATTGGATTAATGCCTTTGCTCTATACAGTGAAGATAGTGACGGTTCAACAAATAAAATAAATCAACGAATAAAAAAATTTAAAAATTCATTGGAAACATTAGAAATTAAAAAGAAAAATAAAGAACATACGCTAGGATATCGAGGAAAAGTATATTTTATTATAGGAGAATATGAAAGAGCGCTTAAAGATTTTACAGAATTGTTAGAAATAGAACCATATAATATATTTGCACTGAGATATCGAATTGAAATTTATAATATAATGAAAAGAAGTAAAGAGTCACTCTCGGATTTAAATAAAATATTAGAAATTAAACCAAATGACGCATGGGCATTAAAAGCTAGAGAAGTTTCTAATGAGTGAGTGCAGAGCTATTTATATTAGTAAGTACTAACTATTGAATAAAGCAATACATAATTTCTAACAAAATATATGTATTTGATTTAGCTTGTATGTATAAAGTTCGTTTAAAAATAATGATCCTTTAAACCGTTTAAAGACTTCTCAATTTCCCACTAATAACATAACTTTACTTTATTAATCTATCACACATTAGTGAGTAAGTAGAAAAAGTACATTTAAAGTTTTTAAAATTTAATAAGAATTTACTATTATTAACTTATATTTTTAAACCACATTTTTAATAATTACATATTTATATCTCAGTGAGTAGGTATAAAGTTCATGATTATAGATTCTTTTTAAAAAAAAATATTGCACTTTTTTAATTAATCATTTTTGGATACTATAATGAAGTATGTAAGTATAAAGTCGGTTTAAAAATCCTTCGTTTTAAAGATCTATCGCAAAGCAATTATAAAATTTTAATCACAAAATACTGTATAATCATTTAGTTTGTGAGTATAAAAGTTCATTTCTTGAATTCATATATATAATATTTTTATCATTTTTATAATAATTAACATTATATAACATAAATTAGCGAGTAAGTATAAGTTTATTTCGAATTTTCTATCAAAAATTGGTGCCAAATGTTACTTATCTGATTGATCAAATGCTATTATACTAGTGAGCAAGTATAAATTTATTTATAATAATTTATAAATGGAGTTTGTGTGATTAATTATCACTAAAGAACATTAATTACTTTCAAATAAATAGTCTGTAAGAATAAACTTTGTAACCTTGAAATCGTTAAATAACAATAACTTCTTAATAAATTATATGCTATTTTGTAGTCTGTAAGTATAATTTCGTTACAATGCTTTTAAAACCACATTACATAAGTATTTTATACTAAATAATATATTATTAATTAAATAATATGATAGTGAGTGAGTCTATTTACAATAATTTTTAATAATCGTATTTTATGAAAATTCATCACTAAAGTTAACCATACTATTATATAGCGTGTAAGTATGATCTTATAATAACAATTTTTAATAACTCATAGTTTTTATAATGAATATCAATACTTTTTTAATTTTAAAAAATAATACGCTAGTGAGTAAGTATAAATTGATAAATAACCATTTCAAATCACCTTTCACAAGTATTTGCCATCAATAATAATAATAATATTCTGCACATTATATACTAGTGAGTGAGTATATGTCAATTTTTAAAATTAAAAATCACATTTTATAAATTTTATAAGGGATTGGTTATATAATTAATTTTTTTTTGGTTTTCATAATGCGACTTGGATATTTTTTGTTATATTTTAAAAAATATTTAATAAAAATTTTTATTTTAATATAAAAATATTAATTTTAATAAAACCAAAATAAAATTACTTGTATGACCTTATCCTTTACAATATAATATTTTTCTAATTACTCACAATCAATCATGTAGCCTGTAAGTATTATATTGATTTATAACGATTATCATGTTTATAAGTTAATCCCGAATAACACATTTCTGATAAATCATACACTAGCTAGTAAGTATAGTGTTATTATTATTTGCCTGCTCTAAATGTTAAGACTTTCTATTAATTTATACATAAAAAAATACTAGTGAGTAAGTATAACTTTATATATTAAAAATTATAAAAAATGTATCTAGAAAGATTCACTAAACAAAATACGTATTATAATAGTTAGTAAGTATAAAAATTTATGCAATATCATAATTTACAATATTTATTGTTAAACTAATACTTTTCTAATCAACCAATAATAAATTATTATATAGTCTGTAAGTGTAAACTTTACTCTTAAAATTTTTTTTAATATTATTGTCTAATAAAAACTCTATCAATCATGTATCTCGTAGTCTGTGAGTACAAACTCTATTTATATTATGTAAATTTTTAATGATCAAATTTGCTCTAATTACTTTTCCAATAATTTCAATAACTAGTGTGTGAGTATAAATTTAGCTATAATATAGTCTTATAGGGATCTCTAACAATAATTTTTTAATAAATCATATGTACTAGAGAGTAAGTATAAGCTTAATTATAAATCGTGTTAATCGTAATAATCGGAATTTATTACTAAATAACGTTACTCAAATATCAGCGTGTGAGTATATAATTAATTTACAATATATGTAATAATTTTTAAAAATTTTAAAAATAATGCTTTTTTAAAAAAATTTAATAGTTAGTAAGTATTGTAATTTTAAAATTAAATTTTTGTAAATACTTTATTTAAATAATAATGCTTTCTAATATATATATTAGTGCGTAAGTATAAAACTCATTCTATAATATTACAAAATTATATTTTACAATTATTTATTCTTTTCAAACAATCATAATAGCGAGTAAGTATAAATTTTACTTATAATAATTTACAAAATTACATTAACTACAAATAGTATTCTAATTAATTAATTATATATTAGTTCGTGAGTATAAATTCATTTCAAAAATTATTGAAATCTGGTTAATTAAAGCTTTCTACAAAAAAATATTGACATTTTTATAATGATTCACAACTTTTAGAAGGTGTCCAGAATGCGGTAAAGATAATTGTGTGTACTGCAATGATTGCAACAGTAAACATTGGAAAGAAAATTTTGACAACTGGTCAAGTGGTGACTCTAACATTGATAAAATAATTAAAGATACACAACTCAAAGCAAAAAAAAATTACAAAATAATTGAATGGATTAAATTTTCAAATTTAAAAGATATTGAATATATTGGTGAGGGCGGATTTGCAAAAGTCTATAAAGCTATTTGGATAGATGGTCCAATTGAAAATTACGAACCTTGGGATGTCGAAAATAAGAGATGGAAACGAAAAGCTGACACTATGGTAGCAGTAAAGAAATTAAGAGTGGAAATTGGGATGACGAGTTTGGAGCTTTTTCAAGAGGTAATCTATTTAGATGGAATAATTTTTACACCAATCAAATTACAAATAGCTCAGGCAAAATTTATTATACTGGCAGTATAATTAATGATTTTTAAACCAGTTTTAAGACTCGAAAACGTAAATAACTAAACATAAATTGCCTTTTTTTTTAATTATTGTAGATTAAATGCAATCTGGATCATAACTCTTTATTCATTAGCAGAGTTTATGGCGTAACAAAAGATCCATCAACACAAGAATATGCAATTGTTATGCAATTTCAAAAAAATGGTGATATACGACAGCTAATACGTAAAAATCATGAGGAATTAAATTGGATAAAATGTATTAATATTCTCAGAACAATTTGCAACGGATTATCAGCAATACATAAGCAGAAATATTTACATAAAGATTTTCATAGTGGAAATATTTTAATCAATGAGAATTATAAAACAAGTATTGCTGATTTTGGACAATGTCGAGCTACTAAAGAAAGCCAAGACCAAAAAAATGTAATTGGTGTCTTACCATTTGTAGCACCAGAAGTGTTGTTGGGTAATCCATTTACCGAAAAAGCAGATATTTATGGATTTGGGATTATAATGTGGGAATTTATTTCGGGCGAACTACCTTTTGCTGATAAAATACACGGATTTGAACTAGCTCTTGAAATATGTAATCAAAGGGAACCACTTCGTCCAAAAATTCCAGATTATACCCCTAAGCAATATAAAGAAGTAATGAAGAAATGCTGGGATCATAATCCAGATGATCGTCCAACTGCAATGGAGTTATCCCAACTATTTTTTGATTGGTATAAAATTTTAAAGGGCGAATATCCAAAATATAATCCAAATATATTGAAATCAGATATTGAAGAAGAATTCAATACAAGCAAAGAAAAAGAATGGAAGGAACGATTAGCTAAATTAGCAGATGTTTCATCGCCTTCAAAAGAAACAAGACAACAATACACTAGCAGACGTCTCGATTATTCCAAGATGCTTTCACAGAAACTACAGGAACTATATAGGAGTGATAGTAAGCAATTCTACTTGTAAACAAACCCAACTTGAAAAATTTACTATTAAGTATTTTATTTTATTTTTTTTACAGAAATATATGAAGTAGATACATATGATGAAGATAATTATGATGACAGCAAACTGATAGATCTTGTAATACCATAAAATGTGGAAGTAGAGACTCCGAAATTAATCAAAATTCAAAATAATGATATATATATATTATATACATACTGTATTTATGATAATCTTAAACTAGTTGATAAAAATATATTATATCATATCATGTGGAGTACCTGTATATAATATCTACCTAATTGATTGGTTAAATCTGATAGCCATATTACATTATTTTATAATCAGATATTCAAATTTTCAAAATCTTGTACATGAAATCACATTTGTATTCTAATTATTTCTAATCAATAAAAAACATAGCTTCCAAATTATGTATTCTTGTCATGATACATTAAAGATCATATATATATCAAAACATGTAAAAGCATTATACACTGGCGATCATAAATAATGCATCAAAAAAAAATTTTTACCTAGATCGCATTATTTCCCGCAATTCCGGGTGTATTCTTTTATTTTTTATTTTATTTTATTCGCCAATACCAATATTATCATTAATAAAAAAACAAAAAATTTTAATGAACAAAATTTTTCACGGACACGAGCTTTATTCCAAATGCCGTGTTGCATTACTTTTGCTCGTTTTTGCAGCAACACGGCTGTAAAACAAAAAATTTTTTTTTTACATAAAAAAAATACAATTTTTTTTTCTATTTAAAAATTATCCACCTTCACCATCAGGTGTACCCGCCCCGAGCCCTAATTACAGCACGAATCCGGTCTGGCATTGAATGAACCAGCCTTCTGCAGGTTTCATCATCAACTGCCTGCCAGACCTCTTGAATCTTTTGCCAAAGATCCAGCAAACTCAAAATTTGTCCAGGAAGATTCCTTAACTGATGGTCGATTTTGTCCCACAGGTTTTCGATTGGGTTGATATTGGGGGATTGGGGGCCAATTGAAGAACTTCACCTTATTCCTCCTAAGCAAATGTTTTGTCAAAGTCGCCGTATGATAAGATGCTCCATCTTGTTGGAAAGTCACCTCACCAGCTTTAAATTCTTGATCCCTGATCGTTCACATCAGGTCTTCGTGGATTATCTGTCGATACAAGTCGCCATCCATCATGTCGTCAATTTGCAATAGCTACCAACACCACGGGCACTAAAGCACCCCCAAATCATGACTAAACCATCTCCGTATTTTATAGTGGGCTTCACGTGGAACTTGTTTAATGGTTCTCTGTGATGCTTCCAATAGTATTGCTTATCATCTGATTCAAAAATTTTAAATCTAGATTCGTCAGACCAGATTACTTTAGACCAATTGTCGACAGTTCAATTTTCGTACTTCTTTGCAAAAGTGAGCCGTGCTTTTTGATAACTGTTGCTTAGGTATAGTTTTTTTTTTTTTACCCCCAACACTACCCGTGGCACGAAGTATACAGTGAATTGTAAATACTGAAATATCTATATCTGCATTTTTTGCGAGGTAGGCTCTCATTTCAATGGCAGTGGAGCACTTACAGGAGATAATAAAGTTCACTATTCTTCTTTGGGTTGGAACACCCAATGAAGGTGGGCAACTAACCCTTCCTAAATCTTGAAGCACCCAGTTTTCAAGCCACTTTTTCTTGATTTGTGAGACGGTGGAGGAGGCAATATGGCGAGCCCGGCCTATAGCCCCTGTCATGTATCCTTTTGTAGCGAGAGCAAGATTTGTGCTCTTTGGGCAGGAGTGATATGGTTCTTTTTTGCTTTTTTGATTATCAATTAATTCTAACATTGCACATGATGCAATATTAGACAAAGAAAATCTATTTATAAAAATGTGTCACATAGTACACATAAGCTATCTGATCTTTAGAAAAAACAAGCAAAAATAATGCATTACATGTTTTGTAACACACGCGTGATTATTTTCAGATTGGCAGTATAGATGTTAATAAAATTCTACAAGTAAACAGTGACGCTATTCACGAATAAAATAAAAAAAATAAAAAGATACACCCGGAATTGCGGGAAATAATGCAATCTAGGTAAAACTTTTTTTTGATGCATTATTTATGATCGCCAGTGTAGATCATCACCTAGTTTATTAAATTTTGTATTATTCTATAATGAATCTCTGCAGGATATTATTTGTGGAGTTAATTGGTTTTTTAAAATTTAGTTTTAATTTAATATATATTTATTAACCAATTGATGATTTTTTATCAGTTTAGATAATTTTACCATCAGAATGTCCATCTCAATGAGATGATTCTAATGAGTTCAAAATCATCTAAATTTAATCACTAGATCTAGAGAACGCAAGGGTTTTTATACTATTTTAGATATTAAAATTAATTTAACCCACCTGAAATAGTACAAAAAAACCTTATTGATCTTGGGATTTAGTGTTTGGATTTGTGACATTTTGTGCTTGCTGGAATTGTAAACCTGTGATAGTCATTTTGGTAGTAAAAGCACCTGAATCAGATTTCAGAATCAAAAGTATTGGTTGTTAAACATACACTCTATCTTCATTATAACAGTTCCTTCAGACTGAAAGAATTTTAAGAAGTTGAACCAGTGATATCTTTATGATAATCACATCACATTATTAAGTGTTCGACCTACATTAGGGTTAGTATTAGGGTTGGGTGTAGAAAGTGGTACAGATATTACAAGCATGCCAAATACTCAATAAGGCATGCTATTTATATGTTATTTCAAAATATTCTAAGAATATGTAGGTCATAAGAAAGGTTGAGATTAAGATTTCAAAATATTCCAAATGTTCTGAAAGATTTCAATGATAACTAACCAATCTAAATTAAGTATATCTGTTATATAACATAATGGCATGCCTTTTAGCGATGGCATTCTATTTGGTATACCAAATTTTTTTGCTGTACCATTTTCCTAGTTGGGTAATATGTTAGTTTAGGCTAATTTGTTTAGTACTAGTAAACAAATAACATAATTGTATGATTTCATGTAATGATGATCACTGGTCTTTAGTTGTTCCAGAATTTGTCCATTATTGCGAAGTGATAGTAATTACATTATTGAAAAGAGGAGCAAACCACGTAATAACACAGCTACTGCCTCACAGGCGAGAATATGTGAGAATAAGAAGCCAATGACAAAAGGGTTTTTAAGCGGGATGAGCTAAACAAATATGGATAACAATAAGGAATTGCATATGTTTGGCATAAAGATCAAGAACCGCAGATGAGTATAAATAATGAACAAAGAGAGTCAAGCTACTTGGGCCAAAAAATTGAAAAATGAAGGTTCTCACTACAGATATATTTAAATAATGTCATCTGAAAATAATGAAATAACCAGAATCAATCCCCAAACAAAAGTCTATATTGATAACATGAACAAGAAGACCATCTCAACAATCGTGAATAAAGTGAAAGATCTAATAAACCAACAAGCGGAAAACCAAAGACATTAGAATGAACAATTTCAACTGACAATAGACAATCATTTAAATCAACTCGAGTACATGAATTGAGCCAGTACAGAAGAACAAACAAGAGACAACCAACACACAGATGAGAACCAAGCTAATGACACATCACCAGCAACGATAAGCCCTGCAACAGATGCAAGAGAAGAATTATGGCAAGATAATTTTCTTCTACCCCAATTCTCAACAATATTTTGATGAATACAATCCCAGCGCAAATCATGGTCAATTTGAATAACCTACAAAATAATGATAATCAAAGCCAGCCAAACAAACCATTATTGAATAAGAAGGGCAGCCACAGGTTTCTGGCAATAAATTACAGTACAGTTAAACAGATGCCAGTAGTAGAAGATTTTTTAAACCATCAAGCAACCAAAATCAAAAGCATGAGACTTGGTGAGTCACAAACTGGTCCGAAGGCCAGAAAATAATTAAAATGTTAGCACAAAAACCAAACTTGATAATACAAATGTGGAAATTGATAGCATTCGGTTCATATGTGGACCTTCAAAACTTTGCTTATAAAAACCCGAAAACTAATATAAAGCTCAACCAGGATGAATCATCATTACAAATGGGTGAGGGGGAACTTATATCTGTCCATAAACAGAATATATACAGCAAATTCAGCGATATATCTGAATGCTGCTAGTATTCAGGTTATACATGGAAGCAATTCTAATCATATATGAGGACAGAGAGTGGAAATTAAATTTCTACCATGATCACATAAGCTCTCTTTGTACCAAATACAAATTTAATACAGTAATAGCTTATGATAAAGATCGTCAATTAGCACTGATAATAGACCATAATTCAACACTATTTGATCAGAATATTGATGCTGAAGTAGAGAACTTTGACATAACAGCAACAAAAAGATCAAAAATCAGCAAACCACATATCTCTTAATTGGTAGAAATTTGCAGACAAATTTGTCTGTATAATTACTATAAATATGTCTCTGATTTACTCTTTAATTATTTAAAATATTTAAATAAAATAACATGTTAATATTTGACAATAAGGATTATATTTTTGCAATATTTGTATTTATATTATAAGACAAAAATTTTAGTTTGCTTATAAGCTAAAAATA